GTGTACTGCAGTCTCTCTTCTTCACCGTCGACATGTAGGCTTCAGTTTCTAGCCCTGCTTTATCTACCTACAATTTCTGTGGACATTCTGCTTCACTTTGCTGTATCTTTGATGCTCTCCACAGAACCTATGCACTAGCATAGAATGCCAATTTCAAAAAAGACAGAAAAGTATCCACAGAAATATTTATGAGTTGGTTTTTTTTTAATCATGACTACTAAGATAACTAGTCCCTTTTTTGCCTGAGCAATTAATTTTTTGTAACTGAATAAACAGATCCATACATCTTCCACATGAGAGGCAATTTAATAATTTTTTCTCCATGCACAAATTTAAGTAAGCAAGCTAATACTTCTAATGCTACCCACCTTGGCTGATATTACCTCTAAAAGCACATAAAGAGACTGTCTGCTAAAAGTTTCCATTTACTTTTTTTTGCCTGATGTCACCTCAGAGTTTTCTGGTCTAAATACAAGCCAGGCTGTGCTTGATATTTTGTATAGACAGTTTATCTATTTAGCAAAGTTTAGCACATCGAGGTGATTATCTTTTCAATCACAGGTTTCCCTTAGCTACTCATACACTCGTTGACCTCAAGAAAATAACAGTATTTATCCTTCATCAGAACACAAAGTTAATTATGCTGGCATTATGAAAGTGGGCACCAAGGCAGAACAAAGGATAAAGCTGGATATACGGACCTCTAGTCCAATGCTCTTTTCACATGTAGACTCCTGTCTGCCCCACAGCAAATTTGCTCAGGGGACTAAGGGAAATCCATGGCAGAAGCTAGGAATAAGTACATCAACACTAAACTTGATGAAGTGACCCCCCACCTGTAGCTTGAGTGATGAAGATTATTTCCCTAATTTTTTCAAGCTTTGAAGGATATCCTTCTCCAGGCATACATCTTCCTGGATGTATGAAGAAATCACAGTTAACCAACTGATCCAGGACAAGCTGTAGACTCTTAGTAATGTGAATATGGAACATGGAAACTACTCTGAGTGAAATTTTATTAAGAACTAACTATTTAAGGTAACTTCTAACAATAAATTTCCTACCCTAAATAGAATGTAATTCTTGCTTGCAAGAACTGAAGAAGGTGGTAAAGTAAGAACTGCAGATGGTCGAGAAGAATTAGCCTGAGGTCTGCTCATTATGTATTTATTTGCAAAGGGGCATGAGATGCAAAGTAAGAACACCTTAGTTTAGCACAAAGAGTGCTGTTCTTATTACTTCCCCTTCTGAATCCTGTTTCACAATCTCTCCCTAAAATACAGACTCACGAAGAGATGGTAACTAGTTTTGGTTTCCTAGAATCAAAGAATCATACAATGTCTGGGCTGGAGGGGACTTCCAAAGGTCATCTAGTCCAACCCCCCTGCAATAAGCAGGGACATCTCCAACTAGATCAATTTACTCAGAGCCTCATCCAGCCTGACCCTGAATGTCTCCAGGGATGGGGCCTCCACCACCTCTCTGGGCAACCTATTCCAGGGATCTGTCACCCTCATATTAAAGAACTTTTTCCTAATGTCTGACCTAAATCTACCCTTTTCTAGCTTAAAACCATTACCCCTTGTCCTGTCACTACAAACCCTCATGAATTGTCCCCCTCTGCTTTCCTGTAGGCCCCTGTCAGGTACCGGAAGGTTGCTATGAGGTCCCCCCAGAGCCTCCTCTTCTCCAGGCTGAACAACCCCAAATCCCTCAGTCTGTCCTTACAGGAGAGCTGCTCCAGCCCTCAGACCATTTTTGTGGCTCTCTGCTGAACACATTCCAACAGCTCCATGACCTCCCTGTGCTGGGGGCTCCAGAGCTGGACACAGGACTCCAGGTGAGGTCTCACCAGGGCAGAGCAGAGGGGCAGGATCACCTCTCTCCATCTGCTGGCCACACTTCTTTTGATGCAGCCCAGGTTGTGATTGTCCTTCTGGGCTGCTGCTGCACATTGGTGGCTCGTGTCCAGCTTCTCATGTACTAGTACCCCCAAGTCTTTCTCCAGTGGACTGCTTTCTAATGTGTCCTCTCCCAGCCTGTATTGGTCATGTTGGTTGCCCCTCCCCAAATGCAGGACCCTGTACTTGGTTTGTGGTCTGTATAAAAACTAAAGTTTGATAATAGATTTTCCAATAAAAGATTTATTAGCAGCATACACACACAGCTAGCTATCAGCCACACATCCTATCAGTGGCTGTAAGGAAATAAAAGCAACTGGAGATTATACCACTAGATAATCATTATCCAAATGATCTCATTATCTGCAGAAAACTGAAGCAACCCTTGTAGTAAATATGTGGACCTTAATATGAAGAATTTGTTACATTCTGAATTTTAAAATATTCAACTTAAAACCTACCTAGCTGATATATCAGTCTTCTCCAAAGATTTAGAGTAACAATAAGTTACCCAAAAGCTATCTAACGTAGCTAATTAGGATATATAGTAACTTAACATATTAAACTGAATTTTAATAGTCTATCGAATACAAATTCAAAAGCAAACTTTACAGAAATAAGAAAGTACATTAAAAACTTACCGTATGCATAGGTTCTCAGAAGGAATGTGTTTCTTATTCCTACAATATTGTTTACATTCAAGTCAAAATCCACACCGCTATAAGGGACAAAAAAAGAAAAAGAAACAAGCTTCATGGTATTCAGTTTCAGAATACTTAGCACCTACTTAGTAACAACAGTCGAGAAATGTAATTTTAAGCTATTACACTGGAAGCTTCCTTCAAACAACGTTGTTGCTGTGACTTCTACTCTGGTTTTGTGTAGGGTACTTGAATTGCTTATAGATTTGAATTCCGCTGCCATAAAAGTGTAATTTTTTTACGTAAAGAATACTTGTAGATCCAAATTTAGACTTTATATATATAAATTTGTAAAAAAAATTAACACGTCTTTCTCCCAGCTAGACTTACACTACATGAACTACTATGGACAACTTCTGATGCCAGGAATGATTCTCTGAGATACTAGCATAGGAAATCATGCCAATGAACTGAGAAGAGAACTGGAAGACATCAAAAGGTAAGAATCTCTTTTCTGCCATAGTGGTCAGAGATAATCAGCAAATACTTTGCAATGAAAGCTGTCTATTAGTAAACACTGCATGTTTTGTAATGAAACAGTCTTAATAACAGTTTCATGCTATTAAAAGTAAATAAGGCAAGTAAACACTAGCCTCCTTTATTTATATCACACACTGCCCCAAAGTTTAAATTTCATACATCACATAGAGCTTAACCACTCACTGTCCTCAAGGAACAACACTAACTAATAGTCAATAAGCTATGGCAACACTAACTCACAACAAGAAGAGCCTCTTATTGTCAAAGATGATATATGCAATGTACAGATATTTCCACTTGATATGTCCAAGTCTCATTCCTGTAGCATTTGTCTACCTGACTATTCCTTTGGATTTTTTTGAATTATTGTAAGGGGAACACAGACCTGAAATTTATTCAGCTGGATAAATTTGATGCCTACAACAGGTTTTTGATATCATTAACTCCATTAAAATATTCTTTGCATCAAAAACATTCCATAATTTTAAACCTGAATTAACACCAAGCACAACTTTTTAGATGTTTTAAGAGTTTAGTACATAACAGCACCAGAAATAAACAAGCCTGAGCTATGGCTTGACAGTTATAAAGACTGTTATAAAGGCATAAACACCATCACGAATATTAGTTCTACATGCAAGTATAATAAAGAAATAAGTCAGGCTGCATGCGTAATTCCAATTAACCCCAACTGACAAGATTACTCTTTACCAAATGCTGATTAAGGAAGTTCTATTGCAGTTGTTCTGCACTTCAATATGCATATTTAACAGATGTTGCAATTATGTCAAGTGAAAAAGGTTTTCTAATGTATAGACTCAGGTTCTATTAAAAGCCCTAAAGGAGAGGAAAAGTGTCAACTGCACACCAAATGTAGCAGGAAAAGAAGCTTTTACATCCTCTGTAGTACAGAAATCTTGTTAATTTATCAAAGGCTTGCCTAGCAGCAGCCAGCATTGAAACTATTTCCTGAGAAAGACTACAAAAAAAAAAAAAAAAGACAGAAACTCTTAAGTTCAATGGGTCTTCTCTTACAGTAGTGGGAAAAAAAGGTGTGCATGGATGTACATGTATGAAACTACGCAACACAGAGGCAGTATAAGTTTGGAAAGAGACAGATGCTTAACTTAATTGAAAAGAGAGAACATGGTTGGAGGTGACAGGTTATGTATGAAAAAAATAACTGGAAAGAGGGAAAACCATGTCATGTCATTCCCCACTACTCTCCTCTTCCAGAAAACCAGATGGTAAACAGTACTGTTGTTTTGGTTTTTTTTTTCCTCTGAAAAATGTAACGAACAGCTTCTAGTCTAAGACAATTATACTTTGATTTAGTAGGAAAAATAAGGATTCTTTAAATCCTGTGTGTAAGGTATATGAACATCAATGACTTACTTTTTTTTTTTGCAGGTGACCTAGTATGGACTATAAATGCCTACAGAAAGACTTGAGTCTTCTGACATAACCATTTCCATACTTTTAAGGTTTCTTTGTAAAGTATATTTACTGCTTTTTAAAATGGAAAATAAAAGTCTTACTATAACCCCAAGATTTAGTCAATATTTATAACAGGAATTTACTATTTTGTGTATCTATGAAAAGACTAGCATTGTTACACATAGCTAAGCCATATAACTCAAATTTTAGCTTGACTAGTTGAATATTTTCAGAAAGCACTGGACAAACAACCATCTCTACTGTTAAGTATATAAAAGTAAATACAGGATTAAGTGCAAATGAAAAAAAGTATAAAGCAAAAGCCCTAACAAGTGTTACATAATCTCAGATGCAAGAAAACCTTAAATGGATGGTATTTATTAGTTCAAATCGTAAACATGAGAGATTCAGTTTTATCACAGGAGGATTTCTGTCCTGATAAAGGTGTATTTGATAAAAGCATACTGTGATATGCTTTTATAAAGAGGCCAAAGTAATAGGCTCATTTGTTTTTAAAAGACAAAAACAGGATTGTGAAATTTCAGAAGCATATAGGCAGAAAAAGACAGATAGCTACAGATTGTTCAAAGTCCTATTTACAAAGAATAGTCAAACTATGTTATTACATGAAGGTGATACACAGAAGTCTTACAAAATCTAAATTATAAATATAGTAAGATTTGAACATTACTCAGGCTGCCAACCAATTTGAGCGTTTTGGACAGTTTCTTCTTCTGTTAGATACTTTTATCCCAGAGAATAAGAAATGCATTGTTCTCCGTCCTAGTACATCCTTCTTGGTTGTTCATTTTTATGTCTTCCTAATGAAGACAAAATGAATACAGTAACATCCAAAACATCCACTTCTCCTCAATTATTTTGCCATTCTAAAAATGTCATCTAATTAGTACTTAAGACTGTGAATAGTATGTGCAATAATACTTTGTGAAACACAGAGTACCTTCCTAGAACACAGCAGAATATACTTTCCTGAAATGAACAAAACTTTTTTTTTTTTAATGAGGTTAAACAGTATCACCACAAGGAACCAAAGTTTGTTTTAGTGCTGTCTGTGTGGTGTTAATGTTGTGAACTAGTCCATAAGCAGCTCAGTGGTTATGTTTGCACAGCAAGCAATATTATCTTTCACAACAGTTTTCATCCCAGAGTTATTTTTCTGCTGTGAACCATTTGTCAGCTGAAGCCCACTATCTACACATACCCATAGAAATATGTGATGTACTACTACTAATTCACACCGTTGAAACTAAACAGGATCTCAAACACAAGAAGTGTTTCAGGACACCAAGGAAGTAAGCTGACTGCCACTGCACGCTAGCTGTACAAATCTATGTTGTACTATAGTTGTATAGCAAACAAAGCATGACTTCAGCAGGACTGCTCCTGGGCAGTACATATATAGAGTACTTTTCCATGTCAGAGTCTAAAAAATTATGTTGAACAGAATACTTGCCTGACTTTATCCCTGAATTTCACTATTGGCACTTTTGCTCGAATCAGCTGAGGTCGCTCAATGTAACTGGCTGAAAGGGAGAAAAACGTACAGTTAAGTTTCATGTAAGATGCTGATCTTAAAACAAGATCCTAAATCAGAGTCATATTGACTGATTTATAGGAAACAGTAGCTTATTAATTTAGCAAAAATATTCTCAGAAAGGTTGTGCTAAAGTAAGTAACCTTTAGCAACTGCAGCAAAAATACAATCTAGGAAATTGTGTGGGAAGAAATGCTCTAAACATCAGAGAAAAACATTAGTGGAAGATTTTCTCTGCAGGAAGTATATTTAATAAATTTGAACATGAAGAACACAGTTCTTAAATGCTTTCACTGAACAGTACCTGTAACAGACATCCTGAACAGACATAATCAAGGTTCAAAGAGAAAGGAGCAAGAGCATACCCACCCAGGATGTCCAGATGCTTAACCCCAGCACTACGTTATAGCAACAGGCACATGATCAGTCACATAATTTTTAACCACATCTAGTTTACCTACAGCTGAAATAATGTATTTTGATAAAAAATGTTATCATAACTGTGTCTTTACTATGCACTGATTATGCTTCAAGCTTTGTTTAAGAACTGTTCAATAGGAAAGTACATACAAAGAAACAAATTTCCTATTGAATTCTTCCTGAAAATAGCACTGCACTTTCCATCAAAGGTGGGATAAGGCTTACTTGTCTTTTCTTTTAATGGTAATACAATATGCAACAAGCATACAGGACTGCACCTCAGATGGTTATCCACACAGTATAGAGACCCAGGCTCTCACTGCCAGACTGTCCAAACCCAAACATACTACCACCAAATGCATTTTTGCACTTGGCTATCCAAAGCTGTTGCACCAGCCATATTATCTGTAATTTCCCTGTTGTTAATGATCTCAGGCTATATTTAGTAGTTGTCCATAGCCCTGAATAAGAAATGTGCCCAATAAAGTAATGGAAAAGATGAAGAGGCCATAGGCTACATGCTATGAATTTTGGCAAAAGGCAAGATTTTAGTAATTTCATCTGCTGCAGTATCTAGGACCATTTGAAACTGACCTTCTATAAAATCATACATTTTCCCCTGGTTTCTATATATTAACCTAAAATTATCATAAGTAAGTATGACAAAGCTAGAAGTAATGCAGACTAAAAATAACCTTAAATAAAAGCAGATCTTCACTTCTGAGGAAAAAAAAAAAAAAGTTATTTCTATCAGTTTGAATAGCAACCTTGGTCAGTGTCATCTCCATTGCATTTGGATGACACCTTCACATGCAGTAAAACCCTACTGTGCAATGCTCCATTAGAACAAATTTTTTTTTTTTTTTTTTTTTTGAGACTTTTGGAAAGTGTTTCATGTATACACAGTGTTTAGACAGATTTGACCCAAATTAATCCTTTATCTGAATTTGAATGCATTGTATGGATCCTAAACAACACTGACTGGGCCTCAAAAAAAGAGAGAATCTTACTAAGTCACCAATTTTAAATAAAGAATCTTACAAAAATCCAATCGACATTCATTATACATTAATGTATAATCTGGTACAATTTACACAAGAATCCCCTCTTTCTAGCTGCACCTGCAGACACATCCAAGCATTCCTCCTCTAACATCCCAGAACACTTCTGAAGAAGCTATAAAACATGTACAGCTCTCTGCCTCTCTTCCTTTCACTACCAAATTTCAGACAAAGAAGCCCAACACAGTAGTGTCTTAGACAACAGGGAGTATCTATCTGCACAGCACAGCAGTTCCACTGTCCTCACTATGACCTCTCTCACGTGCAGTTCAGAAGTTAACTGAAGTCATTCTACGGGCAATCCACTTCCAAGCATATTATTGTCTGCAAATGCCTTTCAATACTCAATGGATGCTTGTGCCAAATTAGTTGGGAAGCAAAAAAAAAAAAAAGAGACCAGCGCAACCAAAACCCCAAAACATTATCCCAATCTGTCTCTCAGGGTGAAACAAAGCAAAAACAATGTTAGAAGGCAGTAACTTGCTGCTAGTACCCCCTTCTTGGCTCACACCAATGATGCTGCCAGCAGAATCTCTATTGTACATTAGATTGTTTTACATATGAAGTAAGAAATACTCACAAACACAGTACATGGAATTCTGAAATACATACAGGTTAAGTGCCTCAGTAGCTTGGATTATACTCTCCTCAATATTTTGTAACAGCTATCACCCCAAATTCATGTTTCATATTTCACATTTTTAAAGGACATTAGCTTGAGCATACAGTTCTGGGACTGTTAGCCCAAAATAGGTATTTGCAGGTATGTGAATGAAGTGGTTGACAAGTATTCTGCTAAGTCTTTGAAACAAAAGATGTATTACTGCTATCCTTACGTCACTTTACTGTAGGAGAAACACAATACATACCATTAAGACGAACTTATCCCACAAAAGAATGAATAAATATCAGCAGCTGTGATTTTTCTTACTTTACTCTGACTATACTATTAAAAAACAGAACACATCTGCATTTCAGTCAGTATTCTAGATGCAGAATGACAAGACAGAAAAGACTGCTCCAAGACTTCAAATCCAGTGGGCTCCATCTCCTTGCTCACATCTTACCTTTTGCAAGACTGAAAATGAAATAAGGTGGATAAATTTTGAATCCACTTCCCAAACCTCATAGAATGAGATACTAATCTAACAACCATAACTGTAATATAAAGGGTAGAAAAGACAGCACTCAAAAGTTCTTAAGGTGATTTACCTAAAAGAACAACAAGTTGTGGGAGAGACTAATCTAATCTGCACTTGGAATGCTTTCTAATTGACCAATTAATCATGGAATTGAAGTGAAATAAGCAAAGGATCACACTCTTCGTATAGCCCTTATTTTTGAATGTACAAGATCACCACAGAGTGCAAGAATGAAGAAGGTGTTGGTAGAGGCACAGCTAGAAAAAACTTATCCTAAGTTTCTGAACTGAAAAACATCTTGAAAAAGGTTAAATAGGTTTTAGAGTGTTACCTATGCCATAAACTTCCTCCTTATTTCTTTTTGACTCTTTCAAAAAGCTGGCACAAGAACTTAGTTTTAAATAACATCTTTTCTTCCCCTCCTTTCCTGTTACTCTTACATCTTAGCACATACTTTGTTAGCTTTCATGTTTGGCCCAAACTGTTTATTTCTGTTGTGTAATGCAAGGAATGTTTAATAACAGCTCACACACTTGTTGAGAACATGCTAGTCTCTCTTCTGCAGAAGAAAGAAAGAAGGTAATATTTAACTAGTATTGTCAAAGCGGAATTACATTAAGATTACAGGATAGCATCATACTTATTAACTGGACAGCACAAAACTTAAAAATAATGATCAGAAGAAACTTCTTTTTTTTAGGATGTTAAAAAGCACATGCAATAAAATGCAGAATACTGTTGGAATGAAACTAATTCTTAAAGAGGCTTGGTACAGGCAAATATTACACTTGCTTGTACACAGCAGCAGCACACGTGTACTGCTAACCCTTTAAAAGTTGCAAATCTAGAATTCTGGTTCAATTTGAAGTAACGTCTCAAAAGAATAACGATTTCTGTAGGCTTTTCCTTCAAATACATGCACTTGTAGATCCCATCTTTGATGATTAAGTGGCAGCTGACATCTAAAGACAGTAAAAGGTAGGGAATTGCTTTAAAAATAGCTGTTCCATTAAAAAACAGAACTTATCTGCCAATCTGGAGATGACAATGAACAGTCACGTCTAAGCACATAAACCTGAGTCCGCAAACGTGCGGGAGCACCAGCAGGACATCGCCGAAGCACACGCTGCCCAGTTGTCTCCCCAGAGGCAAAGGAAAAGCACATGACTCTATTGTTTCTGAAGTCGAGTCTGGGGAAACTCCCTCCCTGCCTGCAGTGAAATCCAACCCATAAGCTATTTTGAAGTTATGGATGATGGCAATTATATTTGCCTAAATAAGCTGTAATCAAAATAAGTGGGCTTCTCCCTTGTTTCAGATGTACTGAACCTTAATGTAGTTGAGCTGCAATTAGTCAATTAACTCAGTTTAAGTGGAAAGACCAACATGACAAAGCTTTTAATTTTGAATCAGGTGAACATTTTCAAGCAACTTGCATCTGTCGGTTCTAACAACAGAACATTCCATATGCAGACACTGGGACAGATGGCTAGGTATAGGGATTTGTGCCTGCAGTGATGTTAAGATTATGAGATGATCTAAGAGGTCTACATACTACAACTAAGAGTGTCTGACATGAGTGGTAATATCAGCATTATTTTGTCATGCCTCACCTTCCAAAGAATATTTTTACTGAAAGAAGCTGACCAAAGGCATTTGTAAGATAACAGAGAATTAGGTAGGCAATGAAAATGACCTGTGGCCCAAACAAAAATCTTCAGGGGTTGCTCCCACATGACCATCATGTCTTTCTGATACTTGTACTCCCTGGCAAACGAACTTGACTTTGTCTAAAGCTCTGTCACACAACACAACCTCTTGAAAAAAGAAGAGAGTGACAGTTTATTCAGACACTCCCTTTCCATTCCCTGGAAATACAACTATTTTATCACTGTGTTTCTCAGAAAGCACTGGAATGACTTGCATCCTAGTCAAACCAGACCAAGTTCTCCTTATGCAAACATCAATACACAACAGTCATTAGTCATTAAATAACAGATGCCTATTCTGCAATGGAATTATCAAGTCTCTCTTTGAGCAAGCTGTTGAAATCTGGGTATGCACACTTGCCAATGAAGAAATTTCTAAGTTTGCATTTAAATTTATGGTTTATTCCTTTCACCATTGCAGTGTGGTTCAGAACACCAATACAAGGAATTGCATCAGAGAATACATCAAAGAGAAGCAGGGTGACACTGTTGTTTGTATCAAGCAATCACAGTCTTCTAATTCAAAGGAAGATACAAAAGCCTCTTCGAAGGAGAGGGCTTCCACATTTAAGTCAAGAACTGCCCATGTAAATTCTTCATCTGAAGGGAGTCTAAACAACAGTAAGAACTGTGAATTGACCTGTTTCTCCTATACGTGCTGGTACTATCAACATTTAATATTTTCTTCACTAGGCAGCTGAGCTAATTATTTTACCGGTATCAAGCCTCATATACCTGTTGTCAAAAAAATAATTAATTCTACACTGTCTACTACAAAGTGACATCCTAATTTAGAAATTCTTAAAAGTATTTTCCCCAGGAAGGCACCACAATCTAAAAAAGTAGCAACAGTTCACTAACAGGGGCATCTCAAACAGAAATCTACTGCCCCTTCCACTGTTGTCCACAATACAAAAAAATCATTTTTGATGCTACCTGTTCTTGAAGTCCAGTAGTTTACAAGGCAAAAGTTATGCTAAATACTGTGATTAGAAGCTAAACAAGGTGCAATTACATAAGCCAGTTACAACTGTGCATTTATACTTCTTCCAGAAGTGCTAATGATCTTAACACCTCACTGCAGCCGAGAACTTACAAAGTTTAGTACTGAAGAGTTTTTGGACTAAGCTGAGTATATTCCTTGCTTCAGTCTTCTGATTCACCTGGAATATGACACAAAAACTAAATAAAAATTTGGTACCTCTCAATTAAATGTTCCAAAGTAAGCACACTTTTGAAATAAAACTAATTCTCAGAATAAGACATGAGCGTGTGTATCAACACATTCCACAGCCTACATAAACATTCAGTGCAGCAAAAGCCAGAGAGAACAATTCATATAATACGCAAAATAGCCATCAGATATTCACAAATCTTAGAACTTGATGAAAACCTCGCCCCATTTACACCAAATAGTCTTTTCTTTCCTTTTCAATGATGCTTCCGCTCTTTTAGAATTACGCTCTACTTAGATTTCTTTTTTGTTACATCTTTTCTCTCAACCTAAATTCTTCTCATGAACATTTTCTCTCACCAAAACTACTCAATGAAATTTTGCGTATCAAATTCCTTCTTATTTAGATTCTTAACCACTGAGCAGGTATAATTAAATAAAAAAAATAAAATTGTACTTACTAAAAGTTGTTCCTGCAAGAAAAATGAGTTATGAGTTCTCCAAACAATTTTCTTCATTATTTTAGGCAATTTACTTCTCTATTTTGTTGTGCTTTTTTCACACATGTAGTGAAGATAATGCTTAGTTTTTTTACATTTCTCATTTGGTTAAACATTTTAATGGTTAGATTCCTATTTGTAACACTATCGTGCCTACAGTTCATAGCTACTGTGAGTACAAAAATACACGATTAAATCAAAAGGATTTGACTATTTGTTTCTCATTTTAGAATCCAGCCTTATAAAAGCCATTTTAAAAACTGACTTCATTTTAACTATATAAGTTTTAAATTACTTACTGGCTCTTCTGTAACCACCAGGCACAAGTCACCATCACTGCTACGAGTGCCAAATCCATTCAGTGAGGACCCAACCAAAAAGAGTCTGCTCTCTGTAATAGAAGAAACACAGGATAAAAAACTGATGTGACATACCACAGTTTGAGGGGAAGGAAGAACAGTGAACCTGAAGAACATTTAAACTGGTATTAAATAATAAAATTCAAAACTTACGTGGAAAAATCAGCTTAATTTCTCTCTGGAGTTCTGTTCTGCAGAGTTCTTTTCTGTTCAAATCACAGGTCCGTTGCTGGCATGCTTGAAATAAATCCAATACCTGCTGACTTAACTTGACACAAACATTGAAAAAGGAAAGACACAGAAGTGAACATTTCTTCCTGCCAGAGATGCAATTACATGAAGCACAGAAGACGGCATTAAAAAAAAAATCATCAAGCATCACTTTGCACAATCTATTGCATTGTCTGGCGTTTTACTGGACTTAAATTCATACTGAAGAACAACTCAAAATAAATTTCTGCCAAGTTTTTTAATTTAAGTTTACTCAATCTATTACAATATGTCTATCCATAGAAAACCCATTTTTGCCTCATCAGTATCTGCAGTCTTTCAGGGAATAAGCAGTCTTTCAGAGATACCTTCTGCTGGCTTTAACATCGACAGTTTACTTAATATTAATTTTTCTCCCGATTACTGTTAACATTGATTCAAGTTAGCTTTCTTCTTTTACCCCACACAAACTATGAAAGAAATAGATCTATGGTGAAGGAGGTATTAACTGCTTCTTTTTCACAACACCGCTAACAATATAATCAACAGGTATATTTATTCTAAAAAAAGTTTGTCATTTTGGTGTAGGTAAAGTATGAAGACTGATTAGCCATATGCCTTTTTTTTTTTCCTCTAATTAAAGGCAGGGGACATCCTCACAGGCCCCATACTCTATTTATGCAGACTGGGCTTCTCTCACATCAGGAGAATGTTTTTTTCTTTTCATCAAGATTCTCCCAGTCATGTTACAAATAGACCTCCCCTCGAATTTCTGCTTCCTGGAGTATATGTAGGTTTCCCAACGTTAGTATGAAACCAAGCAACACAAGCAAACAACCACCTTAGCCTAAAAAAGTCCTCCAAACCCAAACACACACAAGGAGGCTATACAGGACCATAGCTCCAACTACATTTATTGATATTCCTTCTAATGTCAGCTTAGTTAGAAAGACCCCATGACACTGTCAAAGAACCTTCCAGAAATTTTTGTGGTCACTCACAGCATGGCTGGGCCCTGCCTACACAGAAGGCAGATGTAAAGCACAGGCACAGAAAGGTATTACCTTATCTTTGGCCACAGGGAGCTTGGTTTCTGTAGGGTCTGGAAACAAAGTATCTTGCAATGGCTGGATCGACCCAGTTACATCTGGTAGACACCATGTATGGAGCAGGGGAAACTGAACTGATCCTGGGAAGGAGCATCTGCGCTCTTCTGGTAAAGGCACTGCTTGGTTAACTACAGTTGTTTCATACTGATATGCATGAAACCGCTGCCGTTTGGCATCATGTGGAATACTTTCTTTACTTCGCCTCCTAAAAAAAAAATAGAGAGACATTAATTCCACTGTTTTGCAAGCTCGAACCTATGATTAAAAGACAGATGCTACAAATTACAAATACCACTGCTTACTTACGTGGCTACCTCATTAAAAGCAAGTATACTATAGAACAAAAGGCATGCCCATCCTAGGTATTAGGTGAAATTAAGCTGGAATGGGAAAAGGGAATACACACCTGCAAAAGTGCAGATACCCTGGTAGCCAATCGATGCACTTGCTTTACAGGAGTGCCTGTATTAACCAGCTGACACCTAAGTGACAAGCTCCAGTAATCAGGTCAGCTTGGAAAGAAAGCTCATCATACTACTTTGGTGATTTTTTTTTTTTTTTAAACATGCATACATACAGACTACATAAGGGTACTTTTCTTTTAAATCAACATTAAGTGCAGCAAGAAATGTTTTGTGTTCTGAATACCCAGTTATGAATAAAATAAATTCAGTAGTGGAGAGGGGAGAAAAAGAAAATTATCACAAAAGCCACTCAAAATGTAGCCTCTGAGTCTTAGATTGTTCAGATAGTAAGATGCATAATCTAGGCAAAAAGAAAACATTGTTATTTGACAAATGGGCCAAATTATCATAGTTAGCTAAACAGGTCATAAACCTAATGACTTACTTTCAAACACCAGTCTGTTGTGTTAAGTCATTTGTCACAGGACTTTAAATATACCGAAGAGATACATTGATGTTATAGACAGCCCCTTGGAATATGAACTCATCTCATCAAGAAAAAGTTGTCCCGAAAGCTGACCAGTGGTTGAATACTGCAGTCCACCCACCATAAAGAGAGGGCATTCACGGTTTGTTTATATATGAAGTATTGCATAAAGTTAACTGGTATGGGGCTACCTGCCCATTTTTTTAATTAGAATGCATGAAATCCAATGTCCATCTCTATCAAAGAACTAACTACGAACAAAAGTACAGTCACTTCTTGTAGTCAGGAAAGCTAGCATCATAGTAGTCTAGGAACCTGGACAGATAGTACTATGAATAATAAAACTTTAACTGAGATGACCTCAAGTCACCATTTCAGTTTTCAAGCCCAAGAGAAATTCTGGTAACACTAGCTACCCACAGTCCTAAAGGAACTCATAAGGTAACATTAAATCCAAATGTAATGCTGCTTCATACTATTTTGACTGAGGAGAGCTCGCCTGAATTCACGTTCAACAAAAATACCTTAGAGAAGAGTCAAGATATAAGGAGAACTAGCTGACTGCTCCTAACACAGCTTCCTATAAACCAGACTGGTCAGGAAGAAAAAAATGCATGCAGCATGAAAACAGAAACTTCTTGAGTCAATACAATAGTTATATACTCAACTACAACTTAATACCATATCTTCAAACAGTTATTTTCTCATCTGTTAAATCTGGAAGAGAAATAGCATACTGGCACTTGTTTTGAAGGCAGATTACATTAACGCTTCCTCCCCACCATCTGATTCACAAAACTACTACACAGGTATCAACTACCGTATCTAAGCTGGTAAAGAGAAGTCATTTTTTCTAGAATGCTAAAAGAAAATAAAACCACACATTCATCTGAAATTCCCTTTTCTATTGCAACTGAAGTAACAAAGGAAGTTATATATGTTCAGATTTATGTTTGAGAAGTAGGAAAAATATGTTTCCATAAAATTCCTCTTAAAAATAGAACCTATATATGCTTGAATTTAGCACCTTTTATCTGAAAAATAAAGCATCACATCAGGAAAATCAGCAGAAACATCTAGTGTGTCATCAGAGAAACAGCACAATTCCCATAAAACACTGAAGGTACAGCTTTACTCTTAACTAGACAAACTGACATGAAAACAACACACAGACACAAACCCTCTTACAGTCAAGCACACAAAGACTACGATCTGTTACAGCAGTAAAGTAAAACACACAAATCAGAGTTCTGTAGGGCTACAGCTGCCAGAATAGAAAAACTACACATTCTAAGTCTCTGATGAGTACCAAAATTCTCAAAAGCAGGTACATGAATGCTTTAAAGAGCCATGACATGGCCTGTTTCATCAAAAAAAACCCAATTAGTATTGCAATTTCTAACAAAATTCAAGTTGTGCAAGAAACAGGCATTAGACAAGCTTCACCATGGGTGCATTACAATCAGAATTAATCACAGAACTTACTTCACTCCTCGGGACGACGTGGAGTCTGCAGACACACGCGCTGCACTGCCATTTCCATAAGACATTAGCTGGGGTACAGCGGTGGGAATAGGTGCAACACTTCCACTCAGGAGAGCCTTGGAAAGACTATAGTCCATAGCTATTATTCATATGACAACTAAGGTGCTTTTTATGGATGTATGCTACGTTGGTGCTCACTCTTAAATGAGAATTAACCTCGGCACATCCTGTCATTTGTCTCTTAGAAGCAACACACCTGTCTTTTTTCTATTCAGAATGAACACATTTCAATATATATTTTTTATTAAAAAATAGAAGATGGTCAGTCTTCACAGAACACATGTAAGGACAGTCTAGCAAACAAATTAACTTAAAGTACTGTTAAATGTAAGAGCTTAAAGAATACTATAGTGTCTTCAAATCTAGCTCCAAGGATAGAGTTTCTTCCCCTTCTCAACGACTCCCCGTTTTCCCAAGTGAGAAAATAAAACTGAGTATCTTCAAAACTGAACTGTGGAATGTTAACTCTAATGAGCACAGTGGCATCTCCTGCATTATTCACAACGCAGGGAGAGAGCATCAAAACTTGTAGGTCACCAACAGAAACTATACAGCTCTGTTCCACACATGACACCTTCCTGTTTTTTAAAGCTTAACACAGTTTGATACTGAACAGTGAAAAACATCCTCCATCAACAGATATACTTCTTTCAAAGACCATTAATTCTCTTCCAACCCAAACATCACTATCAAATGTTATTGTACTTACATCATATGCTGAAAACCAAACCAAGAATCAACAGTTTGCTGGGGAGAAACGAAGACAGGTGGTGTATTGTGAGGAACCTTACTGAACAAATAACTCTGTTGTTGATGTTTTTGTGGGACAGGTGGACAGCCCAAGATGGAGGAATTTGGGAACATGATCCTTTCTACTAGAAGTAAGCATGCATGCTTTTGCCTGTATTTAAAAAAAAAAAAAAAAAGAAAAAAATATAAATTAGGCAAGACCTTTTAAACTCTTGGCTTAAAACCTCGAATAATCTAGACTATATTTCCAGAAAGTACTTAAAGGAACTCTAACTGTGCATTTGTTTTATTTCCTTTATGGACAAGACACTTACTAAAAATACTATATACTCCCAAGTTTCATAATCACTACTTACTTCATTTATGTACAGAAAATACTTCTTTTTTTATTTCCTCCCCTCTGTTTTCAGTCAAATTTCAGAAAAAAACCACACATGACACAGACATATGAGTTTTCATCTCAAGGAAAAAAATATTGTAGTGAAATATATTTCTTATTTCAAACATTCCACAATGACATTCACACTATATAGGAAGAAACACTTGAAAATGAGAACAGAAAGATGCAGCTAATTATGAACTATAAGTAAAACTAAATGACATGAAATGTAAAAAAGGAGCCACATTGGAGAGTAATCTACACGTTTTAAGAGTATCATATACATATATACACACACACCCCTATATAAAGAGAGTGTTATTTTATGGTTGTGCTTACTGCATGGATTCTGTGATTGAAAAATGCAGTCTACCCAGCTTTTAAATTTAAAATTGATTCTGGCAAAACTGACTGCTGTTTGATCTTGTATCATCATATGCATCACACATCAGCACAAAATACTTGCCCCTACAACAGTTTAAACTGTGTATTGCATCCACTCTGCAAATCATCAGTATTTTACCTTAAGCTTAACATAGATGCTGGAAACAATAAAAGTTCAGACTTTATATTATGGGAAAAAAAGTATTAGAAGATCTTTATAACCAGTTGTCAGTACTGTGCATATCTCCTAGCAGCAATAAGAACCTCACATTATTTTCAAGTTTCTTAATTTGTGTTTTTCTTCAGCCTGAACTATGCACCCTGGAACCAAGAAAGATGCATCCCTGACAAACACAGTTGTATATGACTGATATCAGTACTCTCCACAGGAATATTTATCCAGTTAGTGCAATACAGGGATTCAAATGCAGAAGGAATAAGTTTTTTTCAAACAACTTTTAACCGGAATATTTAGAAGTCATAAGAGTAATTGCAGTATTGCCCTAAGTATTACACGAAAACCTTTTTATCAATGCATTGCTCCAGTAGTATAACTGAAAAAAGTGCTGACAGGTCCACACTTCAGCACGGAAGTCCTACCAGCACACAGTAGTCTTAAGTTTGGAACACAAATAAAGTACCATTTTTAGGTTCTCTGAATTACCAAACTACGTATATATATAATTGTATTAACAGTATCATTAATAAGCATTCTCTCGTACACTCAAATAAACAGGAATAACTATTCACAAGTTTATTACAGTAAGGTCTCACTGTTACCATAGCCTCAAAGTCTTCTTCCACCTACAATGGAGTGTTGTCATGTTTTAACCTCCTTAGACAACTCTGAATGTCACTGCAAGACTCGTTATCATGGAACACAGGCAAATAAATACTAAGGAGTTTTTTTTCTCAGGTCTCACAGTGTTCCTACTTCCTGTGATGACAACACACTACTGAAAACACTACTGAAAACTCCGTACTATCTCTTTTGGTTCTGTTTTCGTTTCGTTTTTTGGTTGGTTTTTTTTTTTTTTTTTTTTTTTTTTTTTTTTTGTTTTTTTTTTTTTTTTTTTTTTTTTTTTTTTTTGGTAGCTCGCTCATCTGTAAGCAGCCCAGGTACTCGGCACCACTCACACTATACATAAGCAGATTTCGGATTTAACTCATCAGTAACAGAACTGTGCGGCAAAACTCAAGATTATCAGAAGTAACACGTTCGGTTTGGACTCTGAGGCTGTAAATACCAGGAAGGGAAGCTGCAAATACCGGAAGGAAAAGTAAGG